CAAACTCATGTCCATTGAGTCTGTGATACCATCCAACCATCTCATCCTCTGTCGACCCCTTCTCCTCCTGCCCTCAATCTTTCCCAGCATCAGGGTCTTTTCAAATGAGTCAGCTCTTTGCATCATGTGGCCAAAGTATTGGAGTTTCAGCTTCGACATCAGTCCTTCCAATGAACATTCAGGACTGATTTTTTTTAGGATGGAGTGGTTGGATCTCTTTATAGTCCAAGGGACTCTCAAGAGTGTTCAACACCATAGTTCAAAAGCATCAATTCTTCTGCGCTCAGCTTTCCTTATAGTCCAACTCTCATATCCATACATGACTTCTGGAAAAACCATAGCTTTGTCTAGGCGGACCTTTGCTGGCAAAGTAATGTCTCTGCTTTTTAATATGCTGTCTAGGTTGGTCATAACTTTTCTTCTCTGCTATATAATCATTAGATCTGGGTTTAAAGAAAAAAAAGCAAAAACAAAAACTTTTTATGTGACTAAGACTAAGGAATAAAGGAAAAAATTGTTTGTCCTTTTCTCTTCCCTTTCTCCTCATTAGGAACCAGACTTCTTATCAACCTACCTAGGAATTAACTCTCTCAACACGACTGAGTCAACTGAGTGAGCACACGCACACAGAGAAGCAACAGACAGATCCATCTTATCATGCAGACCAAAAGTGAAAGCCCATGGATCATTCCACCACAGCTCCCATTGTCCTCTGAGAAAACCAGTTCTGATAGTTTGGAATACCAGCCCATTATGTTTTGATTATGTCTTTGCAGATCGTTTTATGCAACCACATATACATTAACAGGGCTTCCCTGGTAGCTCAGTGGGTAAAGAGTCTATCTGCAGTGCGGGAGAACCATGTTCAATCCCTGGCTTAGGAAGATCCCCTGGACAAGGAAATGGCAACTCACTCCAGTATTCTTGCCTGGAAGATTCCATGGACAGAAGAGCCTGGTGGGCTACAGGCCACGAGGTCACAAAGAGTCAGACACGACTGAGTGATTAACACTATACATTAACACACATGCACCCATATATGTGTACACATACATGGACACACAGAATTTGCCATGTAAGCTGGATTAATTTAATTTTTCCAACTTACCTTTTTATTTTCATTTAATGGTGTCCTGGAGATATTTCTATAATTTAAAAATGTAAAGAGGTTTACTTTATCCTTTTTGATACTGACTTAGTACTTTGAAACATTTCGTTATTTAATTAATTGTTCTCCTATCAAAGCAGATGTGTTTCTGTTTCTTTGCTGTCATAGAGAATATCTTATACATCTATGTACATACAATTTTATGTATGTAGAAGTGTATATTTAATGAAATTTATGAAATTGTAATTGCTATGAAAGTGAAAGAAAGTCACTTTTTTTCTAAAGAAGTGAAAGTGAAAGTTGCTTAGTCATGTCTGACTCTTTGTGACCCCATGGACTGTAGCCCACTAGGCTCTACTGTCCATGGGACTATCCAGGCAAGAATACTGGAGTGGATTGCCATTCCCTTCTCCAGGGGATCTTCCTGACCCAGGGATCAAACCTAGGTCTCCTGCATTGCAGGCAGATTCTATATCTTTTGAGCTACCAAAGAACCCTAAAGAAAAGCACATGTAAATGAAGACAGTGACCATTTGCCCTCCAAATGGTTTAAACAATTATACTTCTGTTAACAGTGAATGAGCAGGTACATTTTGCATTCTCTACAAATTGGAAATTACTGGTGTTTTTTATTTTAACAATCCAAACACACTTTACCTACATACACTTTTTGAGCCCTAGTGCTTTTGAGCCACTTTTTCTCTATCAGTTGGCACTCTGTCATTTAACACTGGTCTTATCTTTATTTCTATTTTTTGATCATTTTTCTTTAAGGTTTTCTCTTTTTATTTGTAGAAATTACTTCTATATCTTAATATTTTGATTTTATATTTTCATACATTTTATTCTAACATACAAGCTTTTATTTTGCTTATGTATTAATGTGGCTGTCCTTATTTCTTACATTGTAAAGTCAAGGATTTATTCCACTTTGACTTCAAAGTAAAGAATCTGCCTGCAATGCAGGAGGTAAAAAAGACCAGGTTTGATCCCAAGATCAGGAAGATACCCTGGAGGAGGAAATGGAAACCCACTCCAGTATTCTTGCCTGAAAAATCCCTTGGACAGAGGAGCCTCACAGGCCACAGTCCTTGGGGTTGCTCTTTGCAACTTTTTGTTGGACATGACTGAGAGACTTTCACTGCTACTTACTGACCCCTGCCATATGACTCAGAAAATATGATACAACTTCATAAACAACACACTCACCCACAAATGCAGTTTACACAGACACTTCACTGCTCAACATGCTTGTTGAGGATGCCAGAAATGATAAGATGATATGTTCTTTATCTTCTGTTATCTTGGCTAAAAATGGTAAATTTTAAAGGTCATATTTTCATGTCTGACCAGGTCACCAGACTTATTTAAATCTTGATACTTGTGCATACCAAATGAAATTGTGAGAAACAGAAGCATCATTGAAAGTAAGCCCCTTTTCAGTAAGGAAATTCCGACATTTCTCTTCCCTGCTGCAGGTTTCTTAGCCTAGAGAAGGTGAAAACATGACTTCCTCACATTTTAAGTAGACTTAGAATGAAAGAGAAATTAACCCTGTGACATTAGGCTACACTTATAGTTTTTACTATCTGAAAGTGACTAGATAAGCCCTGGAGTCTGCCAACATTTTAATTAGGGTCAAGGAAGAGCAACTCAACAGGGCAGGTTTCAAGGGACATTGGTGGAAAAGAAAAAACGTATTCTCTACTTGTACTCTACTGGGTTCAATCTGTTAGACTGTCAAGAAAAAGAATGAAAATAAAGTAAATTACTTTTCTACCTCTCCACAGGAGGGCAGTATTTCAAAAGGCAAAGTCCTTCCCAGAATCAAAGTAGAGTTTGAGGTTGGATGAAACAGGAGTGGGGGTGGAGGGTGAATGATTCAATTGGCTGACACACAGAGGTCTGTACCTTTTTACTGAGATCAAAGTGGGTAGCAAGTGTTGCTATAGCCCAGAAAAGCCTCTTTCAGGAGGGAATCTTTCAAGGACAGCTAAAATCAGGGACTGTAGCCACCAAATGATAAGAAGAAAAGATGCTCCAGAAACTTCTGGTGTTGGTCTTTTGGATTCAAATGGCATGTGAGTTTGAGAAGTTACCGACTACATGAACAGAAAATCCTCAGCAGATGAAAAATAACCTTGAAGGCAGGTTATTTTATGGTAAAGAGTGAAAGGTAGTATTAGGAAGGAAAGAAGAAAGGGAGAGAGCAAGAGAGGAACAAGGGAGAAAATAATCATTTCAGGTTTGGAAGGAGGCCCTAATTCCCTTCCCTGCTGCATTCTGCTTTGTTTCTAAACAGGTGAGAGCACCCAGCAGCTGGAGCAGAATCCGCAGTTTCTACATATCCAGGAGGGAGGAAATGTCACCATGCACTGCAACTCCTCAAGCACCTTCACCTTCTTTCAGTGGTACAGACAGGAGCCCAAGGAAAGGCCTGTCCTCTTGATGACATTAACTAAACCTAAAGAAATGAAGGAGCAGAAGAGAATAAGGGCTCGGTTTGGTGAGGCAAGAAAGGACAGCTCGCTGCTCATCACTGCAACCCAGCCTGGGGATGCAGGCACCTACCTCTGTGCAGGGGCACAGTGCTCCAGGGTCTCCTGCTGCCTGCACACAAACCCTGCTGCAGGCCCTCAGCCTCGCAGCTGCCTCAGTCCTCCAGCTCCACCTGACACATATTTTCTCATGGCGGAGAACCGTTTCTGCTGCCTTTCCAGAACATTTCCCACATGTGCTGGAGGACAAGATTCATCTGCTCTAAGACAAGCTTCTGGAAATGAAACTCAGTACTCAAGTGAGTGGGCTTCCCAGTGGTAAAGAATCTGCCTGCCAATGCAGGAGATGTAAGAGACACAGGTTTGTTACCTGGGTCTGGAAGATACCCTAGAGTAGGAAATGGCAGCCCACTCCAGTATTCTTGTCTGGAGAATCCCATGGACAGATGATCCTGACAGGCTATAGTCCATGGGGTAGCAAAGAGTCAGACACGACTGAGCACATGGGCATGAATGCACTTAAGTGAGTAAAAATAAAGGTTTACAAAATATGATATACGAATGCATATACATAGCATCTAGAAAGATGGTACTGAGGATCCTACAGCAAAGGAGACACAAACATAAAGAATAGACTTTTGGACTCAGTGGGAGAAGGAGAGGGTCGGATGATTTGAGAGAATAGCACTGAAACATATACATTACCATATGCAAAACAGACAGCCAATGGGAGTTTGATGTATGACACAGGGACCCAAAGCTGATGCTCTGTAACAACTTGGAGGGATGAGGTGGGGAGGGAGGTGGGAGGGTGCTTAGAAGGGAGAGGACAGATGTATGCCTATGACTGATTCATGTTGATGTATGGCAAAATCCATCATAATATTGTAGAGTAATTATCTTCCTATTAAAATAAATTAATTAACTTAAAAATATTTACAGCTTCTCAGGGTAGGCAGTAGGGGTGAGAAGAAAGTCAATATGGAGGATATCAGACACAGTACATCCCAAAGACCATGGCAAGGAATGGTCAGTACAAGGAGACAGAAATGAATGATTTTGCAGCTTTATGCAGTTGATGAAGCTTCTTCATCCCCAGTCTGCTAAACCAGAGTAAAAGGTAGAGTACCCTAAAAACTAATTAGAAGAAGAAAGTTCCTACTTTTGGACAGAAAATGCCCCAAATGTACTCCAGTAATATCCAACTGTGTTCCCAAAGCAACATTCCCACCAGATGGTCCTGAAACCACTTAAGCATTAACTGCAGTAGCCTGTATTTGCTCAGAATTTGTTTGGGGATTACAGTTTGCATAACAGACATCAATAGCTTCAAGTTTTCAAGGCCAGAAGAAACTGGGAGCTGACAGCTTCCTCCATCTGGCAAGTCCTCCACTGGCCCACTTTTATACCTGAAGCATTCCTGGTTGTTCTTAAAGCAAGATGATACAATACAAAGCACATAGGTTTTGAAGTCACAATGTGCCAGGTTTGAACCTAGGTCTTTGAATCCTGTCTTTGCAATTTTCTAGTTCTGTGTCCTCGGGCAATTATTCATCCTCATCTAAGCTTCCTTGTAAATACAGGTTAATAAGAACACCTATCTTGGTAAGTTGCTATGAATTAAATTAGACAACACTTTAAAAATGATATGAAGTCTCATGTGCAATATATACTCAATAAATGTACCTGTAAATGATATTGTTATTAATTTTTCTAAATAAATACTATTTCTACTGTGAAATTTTAGCTGACTTCTCAAGGAGGAATAAGCTAACCTCTGCCAAATATTCTGAATTCTCATTTTAGTAGTCAGGGAGGCAGACACTGTGAGTTGCCTACCTAATCACCATTCTCTTCTGCTTCCTTCTTAACAGAGCTTTCAATTTTGATTTGCACAATGATATCCCCAACTTTAAAAAAAATAACCACTACATTTCAAATCTTTTCTTACAATGAGGTGTCACATATAGCATAGTTCTGACCAATGAGTCACACTTATAAACATGCTAGAGATTCTCTGTAATGTTTTTGCTCTTCTGGTACAGGCACCATAACTTCCTGTCCCCTTTCCAGTGATTTTCTTCCTGAAACATGGAAGTGATAACTCTACCATGAAGGAAAGCACAATCATAAATTCCCTCCCTAATCCCATGCCTGCTCACCTTTTAGATACCAGGTCAAATCCCTCCCCCAGATTTGTTTGTATAGGAAAATTTTTAATAAACAAGTTTTTGGTTGAATTTCTTTGCTACTTATGGCTAAACATAATCCTAACTGAAGTTGGATGACATAAAATGGCTTTGTGATTTTGTGTGCATTGAAAGAATGATACAAATAAGTACTACATTTTTACAAAGGAGGGACCTGTATTTATGCTGATCATATTTATTTCTTGAAGAGTTAATGTTCCTATAAATTTATAGGAAAATTTTTAATAAACAAGTTTTTGGTTGAATTTCTTTGCTACTTACAGCTAACCATAATCCTAACTGTAGTTGGATGACATAAAATGGCTTTGTGATTTTGTGTGCATGTGAAAGAATGAAACAAATAAGTACTATATTTTTACAAAGGAGGGACCTGTATTTATGCTGATCATATTTATTTCTTGAAGAGTTAATGTTCCTATAAATTTTTATTAAGAAAAAATTTATCTTCCATTTATTTTAAAATTTCTGTCACTCTCCTACTCTCATGGGAGACTATGCAATTCAGCTTTGCATCCTAAGCCATAGGCAATATCAATTTCCATATAAATATTAACAAATAATAAGTGACATTATATTTTTCACATTCTGAGTCCAAATATTATTTATTTTTATTGATTTATAGCTTCATATTACCCCAGAAACATGCTCAAAAGACACCCCCTTGAACAAATACATTCATTTTGAAGATTGCAAGGGCAAATATAAGTTAAAAATAAGAAGAATACATTTCAATTCTGCCTCATATAAAAAGGGAAAGGCTTCACTCCCTCCCTTTTCTTAGAGTATTTACTTTAGAAAATTTGTAATTATGAATTTTTTCTCTATCACTTTGAGATGTGTGCAAACCTTTTAAAAAGCTAAATAAGCCCCTTGCCAGTTTTACAATCCAGAAATAATTTGTCAAGCACCTGGGAGCCATCTCTTTGAAATGGACTCCAAGGAGGACACCCTTACCTCGCAGTGTCTGTGGAGGGCAGGAGTCTAACCTTGGCTGGCACCTCGCTCTAAGTTGTAAACTTTCCTCCTGTGAAAGAAACAAGCAATTTTTCCTTCAGGTAAAGGAAATCAGCAAGCACACATGGCTACCCCAATGACCAGGTAAAGGCCAGAAGGAAGTCTTGGCAAATGGTGCTGTCAAGTCCTCTTACCTGAGAACTAGTTATTGTTTATCTTGAGAACTGCATAAAGTGGGTTCTATTTGTTTGGCTACATGAAGGGATAAAAAAATTTTTTATGTCTTTGCAGTATCTTTAACGGATAGACCAGGAAAAACACTATATTCTGATTTAATGTTTATTCAATAATAAAACTGTTTCTTTTCTTTTTTTACCCTCATGAAGAGGTGTTCTGGATTGGCAGGAAATTTTGGTTTTGTTTTCCCATGAAGATGGCCCATGTCTTTCCATAATCACTGCTCTTACCTGTAAAAGTTGACATGACACTGTGAGAAGAGCATGGGATATCTGTGCCTCTGCCACATACTGGCTGTGGGGCATTGTATAACAATGTTGTGACCATCAATTTCCTCATAAATACTTAGGAAGTAAGCAAGTAGCACTTACTTTACAGTGTTATTATGAGGATTAACAGAGTTTTGTGAATTGCCCAGCACAATGGATTAAAAAAATTAAAAGTTTGCAAGGCAGAATGACAGATTCAATAAGATACATTAAAAACTTCATCTGGGTCCTGATATTCTGTGCAGCAAATGTGTAAAGAACACAGTTTCCACATTCAAGGAACTCATTCTTGTGATGATGGAAAGCCAGTGACTAGTTCCCATAGCCATTGATCTCCATGGGCCACAACTTAAGAATCCACTCACCTACAAACTCCATTCAGAGAAGTAATTTTTAAGAACAACTCAGACACTCTCCATGATCCTGAAGCAATCTGTGCCTTCATGAAAACACACTGTGATGCTGAAGGTCACAATCAAAAACCCTGGTTTGGGTATGGACTTCCCTGGAGGCTCAGATGGTAATGAATCTGCCTGCAGTGTAGGAGACCTGGGTTTGATCTCTGGGTTGAGAAGGTTCCCTGAAGAATGGAACGGCAGCCCACTCCAGTATTGTTGCCTAGAGAATTCCATGGACAGAGGAACCAGGTGAGCTGTAGTCCACAGGGCTGCAAACACTACTGAGCTACTAACAGACACACACACACACACACACACACACCCTCTGTATATGAAGTGGTGTCAGTGCTAGGTTTTAGTCCAGATGGAGACACTCTAAATGTCTTTAGGCTTTCAGGATTAACAGTTGAAGGAAGAATGAAGATCTCTGAAACAGGAAGGGGACTAATAATTAGGGCCAGGTCAGAGGATGGGGAGCAAGAGAATTTCTGGACAAGAAAATTGTTCATAATGCACTTGGTCCTGCTTTCTTATCACCAATTCTTATCTCCAAGCTTCAAAATGAAGCTTGAAATTAAGACAAGTTTTTTCATACTTCTGTAATTTTATAGTTTCTTGAATTCATATTTTTAGGTATCAGGGACCAATATGAGCTTTTATTAATTTGTCCAGAAATTCTTTTCAACCCGATTGTTTTTCTTTTCCAAACCATACTGATACCTCATATAAGAAGAGAAACACAAAGATAAGAAAAATAAAAGCAAAGATAGAAGCAAGTAAAGAAAAGGTAAATTAAATATGGAAAGAAAAGGGTGGAGACAAAAGGAGTAAGAGAAAATGGTAGAAGACTGTTTAAACTGGAATCCGTTGTCTATATGTTTCTCACAGCAGCATAATTAACACTTGGGGCCAGGTGACTTTTTTGGGGAAAGGGGTTTCCTGTGCATTGGAGGATATTTAGCAGCATCCCAGGCCTCTGCTCACTAGAGGTTAGTGATACCCTCTCCTTTCCCCAGTTGTGTAAACCAAAAATGCCTTCAGACGCCGTCAAGTGTCCCCTGGGGGCAACCGGCTGTAAACCAATGGTTTATATGTTAAATTTATTGAGTAGAAACTTCTACGAGGTGATAGAGTGATAAATAACAAATGTACATTGATAGGGGATAGATGATAGATGGACAGATAGACACAGTAGAGCTGGATATTTCATATAGATATTTCATCATATATACTCATAATATATATATCCTCAAA